GAAAAGACATCTGAGGCTGGTGAGATGGTTTGCTCAGTGGTTAAGAATGCTGATCTTCCTGAGGACCAAGTTCTGTTCCCAACACCCATGTCTGCTGGCTCATAAACTGTTCTGGGGGGATCTGAGGACCTCTTCTGGCCTCCCCGGAAACCTGCATACACATGGTGGGCACATATACTAAAATAAAAATAAATCTTTTCTTAAAGAGAAAAGTCATGTAAAAAATGTTATTTAATATATTGTTCAGACAAACAGAGCTTTTTGAAGGAAAAATGTTCATTTGCAAATTAACACAGGAGAGTTAACAAAACTTCAAGTTGCTTTCCTGAAGTTAACATTTCTGTGAAACTCCAAGAGTGCTGATTACACAGAAGCCTCCTGAAGACCCACTTAAGGCAGATGGGTAACACATCTGCTTTTATATTCCCAGAGTAAAAACAGTTATTCTTATAAACTATGTCCAGTAGCTTTGGGAAATTAAATCATGCACATTGGAAACTGTGTTGTTGATGTCTTCAGTAGTAGGGAACTCATAAGATATTTTTATAGAAAAGGATGGGGCCTTTGGGTCTGAAACATTTTTATCTTTTTCGCTTCAGGCTGGAAATGAGGTAGGCTCAGTAGAAGTTCTGAGAGGAGACAGAGTTTATAAAAACTCCCTGATGAAAATGCCTGTCACTCATTTCACTCTGCCTAGCAACCAAGTTGACTTAAGATTCCTCCTGCTGAGTGAGATGTAAGCATCATTGGCTAGTTAATACTATTGGTTTTGAAATCTCTACTTTCATCTTGTCAGAATCAGGAGACTCAGATTCTCCTGTAAGATGGGAACAGCTAGATTCCTCCCTTTTAAACCCATTTCATTATTATGTAATCCAGACTGCTTGAGTTTGAAATTCCTCATACCCAAGTTTACTAGCCTGTTGGGAATATGTGTGTGTTGCTTACAATGACAGCAGAGTTGACCTCTTTCAGAAGAGTATATATCCATATCCATGTATCCTGCTGAGCTTCTCTGTGTAGTACCTAACTGCTCCAATAACTTGTAACTTTATAGTGGAATGAAAAGCCCTCCCAAGTTTTCAGCTGACTGCATGCCCATAAACCATAAGACCTTGCTGCCATAGAACTTGCTAGAGTTTATGTTTCCATAATACTATTGTCTCTCTCTTGCTAGTCAAATGATAACCATAGGCAGATTTACATTTACTGTCTGTTCTGAAGAGTGAAACCACACATTCTCATAAGCATGTTCCATTTTTAATTGTGTAATTAAGTTGCTGACATAAGCAAGTACCGAGTTTCACATTAAGGTAAGGATCCGTAAAGGCATGCATTTGCATAATTTAATTTTCTGCACAGGCGATATTGAAAATCAATAGCATGATTCATAGCCTTACCATATCAGTGCCATGCTGCCTCTGGTTGGCTGTTTGAGCTTAGGAGAGGATAGAGAATGAAAATTGATTGAATTTGGTGTGCTGACTCTGTAGCTTTACTTGGGAGCCACAGACTGTTACTATTTGCAAACCTCTGTTTCTTGCCAATGAAACACTAAGTTACTTAATATATTACAGATACATTTTGACTGCTATTCAAATACTAGTTTTTAAAAACATCTTTTAAACAATCACCTCATCTTTGCTCAAAACACATTTGAGGAGAGGGTTTCAAATTTGTTTTCCTTTGTACCAGTCACTGATGATTTCATTCTTATCTGGGGCTGGGATAAGTAATCCCACATTACTCATTGACACAATAAAAAAGGAAAACTACATGTTATCACCTTTAATGAATAGTTTATCTTTGGAAAAAAAATGTGGTTCCTAGTGATAGAATGCTTTGCTCCTGGTTCATTGCTGAGTTGCATCACTGAAGAATCGATTGTTAAGTTCTCTGATCCTTGCTTCCTGCTTATTTTCAGAGGTTACTGTCTCTGACATGTGGGCAGTAAGTAGCTCTGAAATGAGGCAGTGGACCAAGAAGGTGATGGTTTTGCCTGTCTTCATTGTTTAAAAAAAAAAAAATCACCTAGGACATTAAAAAAAGTTATTGTATCTGGGCCCCACTGCAAAACAATTCTATTTTCAAGGCTTGTAGTCCAGGGAAGTTTATGTCCATGCCCCCTTTCCCCCAAAAAAAGCTCAGTCCTGGGTTGATAATCAGACCTCTATTACAACAGTGGCCATTTATATATACAGAAACTGATCAGAAGTTAAAATGACTGTTTAAAGGATACCATCATTGTCTTTATGGGACCTTTGGCATACAAATGACAGAAAACAGTTTTAACTTATCAGTCCATGTAACTCTCTAACTATAATGGTTTGGGTAGGCCTGGCTTCAACTTTTCTGTATCCAGGGTTTAATGCTGTCAAGAGAATTGATCTATAGGTTTTGCCCCCTGGCTTGGCTCCCAAGTTTTTTGTGTTGTTTTGTTTGTCCAGCTTCTCTGTTGATCCTGTACTTTATCTTCCTCCAACACTTTGGGTCCCAGCACCTTCATGGCCCCATGTCTAAACACCTTTAGAAGTAAAGAATTAAAATTTAGTAGAGTTTACTGGAGCAGGAGAAAATAAAATATGGTCGATGAATCCAGCAAATACCCAGAGCACGTTCTGAGATTCCAACAGTGAGATCAGACATCTTTTATAGAAAAAGGAGAGTGAGACATAGAAAACAACTTAAGCGGTGCTGGACAAATAGCTCAATAGGTAGAGTGCTTGCTTCGCATGCTGAAAGCCAAATATGCTCAAAGTTCAGACTCCAGCCCTTCATAAACTGGGTGTTGAGGTACTTTACATATCTGTAATTTCAACTAACACTTGGGAGGTAGCAGCCAGAGGATCAGAAGTTTGAGGCCACCCTGAACTACATGAGACCTTTTCTACAAAGAAAACAAAACAAACAAAACCAAAAACTAAACAGCTCAAATGAACTACAGCTCAGGCAATCCAGCAGTCCATTCATTACACCGTAGCTAATTAATTTCACTGTAGCCAGTTAAGTAGCTACAGGGTCTTATGCATCCAACCAGGTATCAGATTAAACTCTGATACTGTTGGGTTGGTCATTTAGGTTTCATTTTATTGACCAGAAAACTGAGGCTCTACCACAAGTCCTGATGGAAGCTACATTTATTGGTCAAATTGGCAGGGCTATATGATTTACTTATTGTCTTGATATAGAGGTAAAAGTTGGGGGGCTTATTTGTAACACAGTAAAGAGATACTGTAAAAAGTTTACCATATGCACAGAAAGCATGTAAGCTTAGCAGCTAATTATTTAGCAATGGTTTAGTGGTGGGAGAGTGGAAGAGGGGAAAGGTTTTGTTTTGATCTTTAGCTTGGAATGGTCAACTTCCTGATGCTCTGAGTGGCTTTTCTGCAGGATTGCAGGATGAACTGGATGATAAGTGCCCAAATTTTCCTTGCACTTTAAAATGAGCAGCGGCTTAGAATTTTACTTTATCATTCGGGAACAAGGAGTAGATGAAAGTGATACCAGGTTTACTTTTCAAATGTGCATTTGGAGTTTATTTCATTCCCATTTTTCTCTAAGGGCTCATCTCTTTCCAAGCCCTGCTAACATGTCTTAAAGCTACTCTTTGCAACTGAAGTGTAAGACTGTGTTTCTTCATTTTTTCTCCCTTGGCGCTCTCATTCTCATCAAAGCTAATGCCATCGCCATATTCTTACTGGCTCGTCTGGATAGAGAATCTATTGTGTTTCTCCATTGCCACCCTCAACCTAAATTAAATGTACAATCTCCTGAAATCATTTTCTTTGCTTTCTAAAAGCATACTTGATTTTGTTTGGACGCATTTGAATAGTAACATAGGCGGGTGGTGAGTATTATTCGAGTATAATTCTATTTAAATTTGGAATCTGGGCACCTGTGGGATGCGTCTTTGTATACATGGGTGCATTCAGGTGTGGGCTCGCCACCGGAGGTAATTTGCATCCGATACCGAGGCTGGGAGGGAAGGGTTTTGAATGCTGGTGCCGGCAGACGGTTACTCTCCATAACGGTGAGGGATCCTTTTGCTTGAACTGGATTCATTTTGAGTTTTCAGAAGTGTGTCTTGAAGCATTTCTTTCTTTTTTGAGCATCGCTGTTTGCGCACAGTTTCATTTTCTGTGTCCTTGGTACCACTGGAAACTCTTGGGTGGCCCAAGTATTCACCCCCCAGGGAGTCTCCTGGGCTTCACATCTTGCTGGGTTTGGGTAGGGAAGGCCCTAGTTTTGATGTAGAGATGTTTGATGCTCAGCTTTCCTGTGTACTTACCTGGGTGCTCTGGGATGAGTTTAATGTCTCTAAACCTGAGTTCCTCCACCTGTAAGCACAGATACAGTGACTCCAGTTCTGTGAAGAGGAAATGTGCCCAGCCTTTACATCTAGCACACACATTTCATTCATGTTAGAATCCAAATATTTCAGTTCTACAAGTGATCTGACCTCGGGCAACAGAAAATTACTTTATTTTTGAAGCTTCCTTGCTTATCACAGGGGCCTTTGTATTTGACTACTTGGTGGTGCTTTGCAGAATAAATAGGATAATGCATAGCGGGTACTTACATTCAGAGCTAGGGGGCGCTGTTCTCACCTGTAATCCCAGCACAGTGGTGGTGATGCCCCCCGCCCTCAGGCCAGCAAACGCACAAAAACTAACAACAAAACCACACACAACCCACAACCTAAAACCACACAAAAAGGCTCAGTGATCATGTTAATGTCTTTGGATTTTCGAATAGTTCTTAATTCTTTGCAATGGGTCTTACTCTGGAGCTTAGCTTGCCTGGAACCTGTGGCAATCTTCCTGACTTAGCCTGCCAAGCGTTGGGACTGCAGACACAAGCTACCCCACCTGGCTAAAATGAGGAGGTATTGCTCTTAGCCTGTGCTCCTGCAGAGCTCCTTGGGCAGTTGTGTTCCGTATCCTTCCTGTGTCCAGTCCCAAGCCCTATGAGTATCTCACAGTGCTCTCCCTCTCTTCCAGCACTGACCGAAGGCTATGTCGGGGCCCTGCAGGAGAATAGACAAGGCAGCTCAGTGCAGATTCGCAGGCGCAAGGCTTCTGGGGACCCGTACTGGGCCTACTCAGGTGAGTGGATTTGCGCTGGTTAACATACCTGACCTCAAGGTGAAAAAACCCATCAGGCTCATCTGAGCCCTGTTCAAATGTTTTTTGCTTTGCTAAAAGTTGAAATATTCAAGCCTGGTTTCCTCAAGGTTGTTAAGCACTTTTATGGCTCTTCCTCCACCTGTTTTTCCAACCTGTTTTTCCCCTCAATTTGCATTAGTTCCTGAACTTTGCTTGTTAATGAGTTATTGTACCAAACTTGTAACTTTCTGAAAAACAGAACTTTGTCCTTTCTGTCTGCAGTGGCCCTGATTTCAGAGAGCAGAAAATATGAGGCTTGTCTCTACGAGTAATGTCTGCTAACCATTACAAAGCACCAGATAGCAAGTGTGGTCTTCTGCGTTTGTCCAAGAAATGTAACTTTATTTTCCAGTGCAGTCTTGTTGGTTGAATTTATTCCTGCTTTCTGCCATATATATGTCCAGCTCATTTTTATTTTTACTTTGAGCCTTTGAGTCAGTGAAGTGGGAAAGCATTGTTATAATTATAATGAATATTATACTGGAAATAATTTTCTCACATTTAGAGATCTTGTTGGATTATGCTTAAGAAATACACCAGGTGAATTGTTATTTTTAAGAGACATTAAAACTCAACATTTTATGGATAATGGATTATAGCAAATTAAGGAGGAAAATACGCAGAAAGTAGACCACTTTGAAATTACTGTGGTTCTGAATAATGCAAATTCCTTGTTTGAAAGAGCTCAGAGGTACGAAGTATTACTCTTCCTAATCTATGTATTATGCAGTGTTATTGCATTTAGAACTGAAAGAATCCGCTTTCTACTCATGGTTTCCTTTAAAATCCCAAATTTCTCCCTGCAAATCTTGTTAAATTTATGTCAGTGTAAAATTTATAGGTTGAATCTTTAATTACACCTTATCTGTTGGCTTTTTGCATTCTTTTGTCTACTGATAAATCTCCTGCCCCTGCAGGGAGAATGGCCAGACTAGGTTTTGTTTTGCTGCTCACAGATAGCAATTGTGAAGTCTTCCATCATACCTGTTCTTTGTGATTAGAATGATCTAATTAGAGCCTTTTTTTGTCACCATTTCTGATAAATGAAGGAAATTGGGAGATGGAGGCCAAAATTACATACATATAGTTTCTTGCCAAGAAATGCAAAGAAAATTTATCATTGTGTACTCAGTGGCATAAAGTGGCCTGTTATTTACAGTTCATCAATTTAGAATAATAATGCTGTTAGGCAGGAAATTGGAAGTTATAGGCCAGCCACTGCTCAGATTGCAAATGGCAGTGAAGAAATCAAAGGCCTGAAATTTCTCCCATTACTCAAGCAGGAGGGGACATGAGTGCTGGTGTCTTTGCATAGGGCCATTATTGATGCCCTAACCTCTAGTGGGTATAAGTCAACTCTGGAGTCACCGAGTTTTGTGTCTGGATTCGGATTCTGCATCTACAAGCTGAAAGGCTGATTTTGCTGGATAGCTTTGGTTGTCAACTTGGCACACCTGGGGGAGGGGGCTCAACTGGGGAATTTCCTTGACTCTGGCCATGTCTGTAGGGCATTTTCTTGATTATTGAGTGATGTGGGAAGGCCCAGCCCACTGTAGGGCAGTACCACCCCTCGGCAGGTGGTCCTGTATTGTATAAGAAAGCAGGTTGAGCTCAGGCCAGGGGAATAAACCAGTAGGTAGCGTTCCTCCATAGTCTATGCTCCAGGTTCCTGCCCTGAGTTCCTGCCTTCGTTTCCCTCAGTGAGGAACTGTGACCTAGGAGATGTAAGATAAAATCAACCCTTTCCTCCCCAAGTTGGTTTTGGTCAGTGTTTTCATCAGCAATTGAAGGCAAACTAGGACAGAGACAGTAACGTTTCAAGTTTAGGGATAGATACACTGTCGCTTGTCTGGAAAGATCCAGATAACAAGTCCCTAGACTTTTCAGGATGTAGGGACTTTATTGTAGCCCTTAGCTCTGCCACTGCCGTTCAAAGCATCCCTAGATGATACTGGAGAGCCTGTTTGTGTTCTGCTGATATCTTTTTTAAAGACAGGAATTTGAGGCTTACATGATTTTTATGATATAAGGAAACACTATTTTTTGTTTTTTCAAAATATTTATATTTTTGTTTTTGTGTATGTGTGTATTGCCTGCATGTGTGTAAGTACACCCGTGTTGTGCAATGCCTGTGGAGGTCAGAAGAGGGCGTCAGATCCCCTGAAAACTGGAGTTACAGACAGTTGTTAGCTGCCATGTGGGTGCTGGGATTCGAACCTGGGTCTTCTGCAGGAACATTCAATGTTCTTAACTGCTGAGCCATCTCTCCAGCCCCTCTTTTTTTGTTTTTTAACCAAGCATTTATAAAAGTTTAAGCATTCTTCCATTACAGGCTATGCAAAAACAGGTAGCCAGTTGGATAATGTTCACAGGCTATAATTTGTCAATTCTTGTTTTGATAAATTGCTACCCTGCATTGCCCTGGAATTCAGATAGGAAGACTCCTCCAGATGGATAGGACCAGTTTGGAGGAATCGGTCCAGCTACTTGTGAGGTGTAATGATGAAAATAAGGGAAGGAACAGACAGAGTTCATGTCTCTGCTGAGGACTTCTTGTCCAAGTTTGGGGGGGTGGCAGCAGTCTTTGAAATTTTGGAATCTTTGCACAAATGAAATGCCTTGAGGCTAGAGACTAAGACTGATCAGGATATTCACCCTAAGGGGGATTTCATGCTATGGTTTTAGGATTTAGTGTTTTAACAGTGACCTGCCTCACAAGCTGAGGTCTACAATCTTTGGATTTTTGAGTTCGGGAGACTTCGCCACTACATAGTCTTCCTACATGGAAACAGTCTTTTGGAGAATCCCACAGCAATCCTTTCATGTGGGTGGTTCAGTGTTGGTTCTCTGGGTAAGAAGACTTGAGGCTCATCAGATACTGCTTAGCATTTGGCCAATGGATATAGTAACAGCAGGAAAGGGGAAGAGTTGGGGGTCTTTTACTTTTGACACTTTATTTAGGCTGCTGCCATAAACCCCAGCAGATTAGATGTGGGATTAAAAAAACTAAGTCCTGCATTCATTTTTATGTGTGTATGTGTTTTGCCTATGTGTGTTTAAGTGTATCCATGTGTGCAATGCCTGATGAGGACAGAAGAAGGCACCAGATCCCTGGAACTGGGAGCTATGGATGTTTGTTAGCTGCCCTGCCATATGGGTGCTGGGAGCTGAACCCAGGTTCTCTGTAGGAGCTGCCAGTGCTCTTAACTTCTGAGCCATGTCTCCATCCCTTCATGTGGGATTCTTATAACTCCTGGGATATACTGGAGGTATAAATGATACTTTTTTTTTTTGTCTTTTTGAGACAAGGGCTCCCTGTAGTCCCAGCTGACCTGAACTCATAGCTTGAATAAAGAAAGGGTTTGTATTGGGAGAAATGTCTTTAAATTTAACAAAGGTGAATTAGGCTACTTTGAAAGATCAGTTTAGTGGGCCAGATCTTAACATCATGCCTGCAATTCTTCAGTGCATTTAGTTCCTCTTAAAATACTGCCATTTGTCCTTTAGGGGTGTAGTGTGTGAGAATATTAGATTTGTGCTGATATAGATAGACCCAGGTTCCAACCTTGATTTCATTTGATTATGATTTTGGAGGGTCTTTTAATTGCTTCGAGCCTCTGTTTATCCACCCGGGAGAGTAACAGCATTTCCCTATCAAGTGTTTGGGGCACATTGGAGATGACGTGTGTGAAACGTTCAGCATAGTCTCTGTCATCAAGTACCCATTCTACTCGCTGTTCTTGAGCTATTACCCCATTCGCTGCTGTTGCTAGAATTCTCCTTGGGTAGTCCCGCTTGACAGTGAGTAATTGCAGTTAGAATGGAGAGCTAAGTGAGATTAGCATGGGCAAATTTACAGCAAGCTTTGTCCCTTTGTGGTTTGGGAATGAGGGTTTAGGGAAGAATCCTTGAGCTTCGAGGTGGGAAAACTGTGGGCTGAAGTCTGTGTACATGAAAGTTTACTGGCTCCAGCACACTCATTACTTTGCCTGTTGTCTGTGGTACTGTGCTATGACTACAGAGATAAGAATTTTAAATATTATGTATTATTGTGTATATGTATGACATGTGCATGTGTGTCTGTGTGTTTATGTGTGCTTAATTACACATATGGAGGTCAGAGGACAGCCTTTGGGAATCAGTTCTTCCCCTCCCCCATGACCTGAGCTTCAGGGATTGAAGTCGGGTCATCAGGTGTGGGCAGCAAGTGCTTTACCCACTGAGCAATTTTGCCATCTCCCAGAGTTAAAAATTCTTGATTGACTTTTCATTGGAAAAGGAGGATATTACCATCCAGCCTTTTATAGAAAAGGTTCCTCACGCTCTGCTCACATTCAAATTCAATGCCTGCCTTGCCTAAGTGAATGCCCAAGGACTGGAGAAGACAGCTTTGGTTTTCCTCCTCAGCTGGAATATCCTTAGCAAGCCTGTGGAGCCACTGTCGTTGTCCAGCTTTTGGAAGGAATTTGGAGGAGAGAAGACAAGTGAAATGCACTGTGCTTTGGAATAGGTCAAGAAAGCACTTGGGGAGCTGAGAGATGGCGCAGTGGTTAAGAGCACTGACTGCTCTTCCAGAGGACCCAGGTTTGGTTCCCAGAACGCACATGATGGCTAACAACCGTCCGTAACTCCAGTTCCAGGAGATCTGACAGCCTCTGGGGACATTGCAAGACATGGTGCACTTATACACATGTAGGCAATATACACTCAGGCACATAAAATAAAAAATAATAAGTAAAATATTTTTAAAAAACGCATGCTTGTTGCTGCTCTAAGTTACTGTTTGCTGTGTCCTCTTCCTTCTGTAGCTGTTGCATTGGGTGGCATTTGGCAAATGATGTTGTTGTCATTTTCCCTGCCACCCCACACCAGTCACTGCAGAGAATTCTGTGAGGTTTTGAGCTAACCTAGCTTGTTCTTAGGGCTGGGTTGCTACCATG